CCCCAAAACCCCAAAACCCCAAAACCCCAAAACCCCGGGCTCTTATCTACAGGTTGATAGAATTACTGGAAAAGGCCAGATAGCTATTTTCTACCATTGCTTCCTACCCTTGCGTCCTTGTTCTTCACTTTCTTGGTCTTAGAGCAGCTTGGAATTGGATGGAACCTCTTTATAGAGTTCGATTTCGACAGTGAAGCAGCAGAGTTTGCTGCAGTCAAGTACCTAACTGAGTTCCGTGACTGGCTCCCCTTCGTACTGTTCGGTAATTTTATTTTAAATGTTGATTTTGCCTCCACTTTAGTAGGAAAGTTTGTAAATCTTTTAGAAAATACATACTCAGTTGCTTTCTTTGGGACACCTTGTATAAATCTTTCTGATTGAGTATTATACCCCTTTTTCTTTGGCAAAGCAGCATTGTTTATTTTAGACGTGCTGTTCTCCTTCATGACTAGTGAGGGTGTACAGAGCAAATCCCTGTGAGAGTTCTTGTTAGATTTGGAGTGTAAGTAATTTAAAGAGCCTCTTTTAGCTCAAAAATTATACTTCTTACAACTCCTATACTCATTCATTGCTCTAGTCTTTCCTCCACATAAAGGTTTCTTGACTTGTGTAACAGAAATTGTAGGGATTCCATCATGTGATTTCCTCACGAAAGATCCATTCTCTAATTTTCCAGACTTGGGGAACTTCTTTATCACCTTGAGTTTTCCACCTTTAGATGCATCTCCAAAAAGCTGGGTCTCATGAGAAGAGCTAATAGAGTACTGATTTTCATTCTTATCCTTTAACAAGCTATGAACAGAGCTTATCTTTGAACCTCATAGTCTGTCTTCTAATGTAGTTTTTGCATTATTAAGAGCAGGATTATTCCTGCTCTTCTTAACTTTATTCTTAGACTTTTTGGACTTTCTCAGTACTATCTTGCCTCTGTTAATATCATATCTCAATGTAGATGCCTGTGGAAGATTCCGATTCCTTGAATTACTGTTAGTTTGCCCTGAATAACTCTTCTCTTTTACATTTAGTCCAGGAGTGCCTGAAATTACAGTCTCTCTGTTCTTGAGAGGTGCTTGATTGTTCAGATCTCTCTTAGTAAACTCTAAAAGTTTAGCATGTCCTTACTTGGAACAATAGATCTGACGTCTATCTGGTTTTCCTTATCACTGAATGAATATTTTGAACTGTTTTCACTCTCGACGGGCTTCTCATTCGAGTCGGATATCTTACTTCTACTGTTACTTTTTGGATTATGCTGGTGAGGCTTCCCAAAAGTATGGATTTGTTGCAGTTTTTCAAAAGTCCTGTTCGAACTATATGTTTCCTGCACTGAGGTAGAGAATTCTATGATAGAATCAGACAATTTCGCATTTGGATCATGTGTGGAGTATTTCCGATGGTCGTTGTTGATACTTTCAACCATGAATATCAGCTCTGGATGGTCTGGTGTGTCGTTTTGGGTAATCATCTTTAGTAAAATTTCTCATAAGATTGGAGTCAGCTGCACTGCTCTTCCTTGATTTTTAATAATAAAGTCAAGGATTTCTTTCCTCTGTTTAAAATTATCTTTATCAAAATCCATTTGTACTGCTTGGTCTGTCATTTCTGGATTATTTTGTATTAATCTGGGTTTCTAAGGCTTGAATTCTCTCCAAAAATTGTAAATTTTCTTCTCTGAGTGAAGCCATTGACTTATTAGAGTCTAAAATAGAGATGTTTGGCTTACTTCGAAGCATATCTACTTCTTTCTTTAAATTTCTGATTATGTCATTTTGCTTCTTGATCAATTTAATACTTGTCTGGGAGTCTTGTTGGTTTAGGTCTTCCATTTCTTTCAGATAGATTTCATTATTTTCAGTAGTCATTATAGGAGACTCACCTCAGATATCTTGAGGATCTGGCTCCACTTGATTCGCAGTTAACTGAAGGATTTCATTAATCGGGTTAAAATTAGAAACAACTTTAGTGTTTTGTCAGTTTCATACCCCAGTTCAGTTCTCTCATTGAATTGCGTTATTTTTAAATGATGACATACTAGGGTGTTCCTTGTCGTAAGTAACAAGATCAAATGTCTGAAGGTTCTCTTCAGGATGCTCCATGTCCTCGATCATATCTACTGGAGGGAAATCTACAGATACCCTATTCCCTTTCTCATCTATCGGAGTTTGGTTCACTTTCATCGTTGTATAAATCATGGAAATTCCATAATTACTTTCTTCTTCTGGACTTTTATTTGGAGTGAGGGTTCTTGACCCCTGTAAATCCTCACGAGGAGAAGGTTGGTAAGAAATAAGAGAAGCAGCTTCTTCTGAATCATTAAACTTCTCTAAAGCACTAACATGTCTATTTGTAGGAGATGCTTGACTACCATCCCACTCATTGGAAGGGGCTCCAAGATTTTCGTTTGTATCAGTTCGGCCAGATGCGAAATTACTGTACCTCATTATTTTGCCGTCTTTTGATTCGTATTCGTCTTCACGAGGAAAATGAACAACGCAATGATTTCCTTCAGAATACACCTGTTGGGGTGTTTCAAGCACAGAGCTTTTTGGAATAAAATCTGCACTTTGTGCACTAATATGCTCCTTTACTATAAAACTTTGTAAATTATCTTTCTCTTGCCCTTCCTCCATTCAAATATTTAAATTTCAGTTGTTTCAAATATTTTAACCATTCTTGGGGTTTTGGGGTTTTGGGGTTTTGGGGTTTTGGGG